CCCTGTTCTTAAAGGAATTGCCTTTGTCATATTTGTTTTTGCTCCCAAGGTGTCCCTCAGCCCAGTGTAACGTGGTTGAAGAGAGGAGGAGCTCTGCAGGACAATGTTTCCTTGCTTTTCAATGGATCCCTGTTGTTGCAGAACGTTTCCCTTGAGAATGAAGGCACCTACGTCTGCACAGCCACCAATGCTCTCGGAGAGGCCCGCGCGGCATCCGGGCTTCACGTGCTGGGTAATGTCAAGTGCTCCTGCCTCCCGAGCCTGCCTAGAATACGTTCACCGTCGGCACTGCTTTGCATTTGGTCTTGTCCGGTCTGATTCTGGAAACGAGGAGTAAACACAGTGGGTTTATGAGATGACGTGAACTATGGCTATCACTGTCCACTTGCAAGTGGGCACTGAAGAGCCACACTCTGCTTTAGATCCCTTCTCCTTTGAGAAGGTTGGCCCTTTCTTGGTACCAATACTGGGATATAAACTTTCTGCCCAGAATTCTGCATCTACATTTCCTTTACTCCTCACCCCCAATTGGAGCTAGCACTGGTTGTGTTCCAGTGTAGATGGTTTCGTGCCCGATGACCTAACACACACACACACACACACACACACACACACCTATATAGCCCATATAGAGCCCATATAGAGAATGTGCACATATACACAAACCATACTCCTCCCCTCTCTGAGGCTTGCAGATATACTGCTGTCCTGAGACAGAGCCCGGAAGTGTCTTTTCCTGCCTTTTCCACCGTTGCCCGATCTGTACCACCCTGGGAGGCCAACTGGGGAGTTCTTCCCCTCCTGGTGAATCCTTCTTTGCCTTGGTTTGATCTTCCTTTCCTTTGCGCTCACTTGGTATCCAATCGAGTCCTGGCACACATTGCTCTCCAATTGCTTCCTCGTTCATGTGTCTCCCCTCAGTTCAATTGTGGCTCCTTCAAGGTGAGAGCCATGCCTGACCCACAGTGGGTACTCAATAAATGCCCATCTGTGGAGTCGTGAAACACCTGGCCTTTGAGTCAGCATTATCGCTTGGAGGAGGTCACCAGTCTGTGCCCCTGCCACAGGATAGTTAATGGTGTTCGCTTACTGGCTAGGTATCTAGAACTTGAAGCTCTTCTCACCAAAATGGGCCTTAGTTTTATGAGTCAATAAAATAACCACCACCCTCTTCCACCAAATGGTGAGTTAATCACAGAAATCAGTCAGGCAGAGATCAAGGAGCATTTATTATCCCCCTCTTTGCTTCCAGCACCTAATAGGTGTGTTAAAGTGTTTCATGAATGAATGAAATCAAATCATTGGCAGGCCGACGGTGAGCTTATAGAGCTCAGCGTGGAACTAGAAGGAGATGTCTTCTACTCATTGTTGACTCATGTGCACCCTTGTGACCGAGCAACACTGGCCCCTGTTTCTACGCTACAGTGTTCACAGGAGCACATGACGAGGTCTTTCTCCCATGGTGCAATTGTGTGGGTTTGAATCATCAATCTCTCAATCAATGCCATAGCGCTTCACTCCACTGGCACCTCTCCGGTTGCTTAGACTAGAGCCCAGATTTAGAGTCTTTCAGTATTCTGCATATAGCCCCA